CATGCATCATCTTGATAGCCACTCGGTATCCTCCTCTGGGCACCCAGCCCTGGCTGTCCTGTGAGTCCTCACACAGAGCAAGGCCAGAGTGGTCAGCCCACAGGGGTCAGTGAGGAGCACCTGGAGCTGACTTTCCCGTCTGTGTCCCGCACTCCTGTTTAACAGTCTGTATGGAAGTCGTCATTTCCTCAGTCCGTGATGGTTTGTGTCGCAGTGATGGTTGTAACGGTGAATGGCTAGTGTCCTTTTTGTCCAATTCTGTTTTGCTTTTTGATGGTAGATGAAACTGTAGCTCTTTCAGCACCAATCCAACTTGAAGGTGTCTTGGACCTTGTTTTCCCTTCCAGACTAAAAGGTCAAAGCATGTTTTAGGCATAAATGTATTTGCTGCCTCAACTCATCTGACACCCATATTAGGAAAAAGCCTGCCACCAGAGCAGGAAGCTGCACACTCCTAGCCCCTGTCCCAGGGCTTTGGGGTTCCTTGATGCCATGGAGAGCTATTGCAAGGTGCTTCCGTACTTTTCCAGCCTGGAAGTGGAGGGTGACCGGGCCTGGCTCCTGCTCTGAAAAGAAAACCAGCCTCACTTTCTCAGTGCCCCAGAGATCTAGGACAGGATTTCTAAACTGGAATCATCTCTCATTGGCTTCAAGATGCCTCAAAGGGTATATGACTAGTGCTGCCATCTGTGTCCTCACAGCGACACTGGTGGCAGTGTCCTCTGTACACATGCAGGGCTAATACCCAGGGCTTAATTCAAGCTGATGACCCAATCTGGAAACTGGGTAAGTGGCCCTGGCATGATTCTCAATCAACAGGCCCACAGGGAATTGTTTGGTTTTTATGTTTTATTGGATTTTGATTTGCCTGGCATAGCTTGAGGTGCCTTTTTTTTTTTCTTTCTACCTTATTTTGTAGGACTTGCTCTACATGTAGAAGGTAAGTCCGAAAGACTCTCCCACTGACTGTTACCTTTGCCCCAGGCCAGTCCAAACTTTTATGCTCACATTTTATTAAACAAAGCAGGTGCTCCCTGGAATCTCTGGGACCTTTCTGAGGCATTTGAAGCAGAATATAGAGTGGTCTCATCTCCTTCCTTAATCTTCCTGGTGGTTGGGATGTTCCACTTGTATCATAGGTTTTTTTTATTACTGATGTGCTCTGCTGTTTTTAAATGTGAACTTGTGCGCAAATGTGCGGATTCAATGTTCTTGTTACAGATTAAATAAATTTTTATTTTGAAGATGAAATGTGTACTTGATCAACAAAAGTGGGGTGGTGCTGGAGCTGGTGAAGGGATTGGAAGAGAAACCTGATGATAAACGTAGAACAATTCTCACTGATCTCCATCATGATCTCAAGGATCTCCATCCTTAAGAGTTAGCTGAGCTCGGGGCAGGGGGGTGGGGAGACGGGAGGGGTGGGAATCTTAACTTTCTACCTCCCACAAAATAAAGCCTGGATGGGAAATAGAATCACCAAAGATTGTGGCAGACATTGTGGCTCCAGTCAAGTGACCAAGCTGGGAATTTGCCTGGTCACCTGAATGTTAGAATGAATAAGCAAAGGAACCAAAAATTCCTCTGCCATGTGTGGTACAGAGTGACTGCTCTGGGACAGCTGCTGTGACCTGCCCCAGCAGGGACTAGATTTCCTGGGTGGCTGACCTCTCTGGACATTAGAGAGACAGAGCTCACAAACTTTCAGCACAAGCCACCTCAGCTCACCAAGTGGTTTCTAGAAATGGGGTATGCTTTTCTAAAGAAGTACAAGCTCTTAACCCCCTCCTGCCATTAGAAGTGTGAATGTCAATGGTGGAAGAAGGGAGATGGGGTCAACTGGCAGTTCTCTAAAACAGGGTGTGGGAGGAGATATTCTCGACTTCTCCCACTCCTCCAGAGATCCTTCAGGAGCTATTTAGTGATGCCATTCATCATATACAAGGTAGCACTGCTGTCTAGGGAAAGCTCAGTTTCCAAAATGCTAACAATGTACTGAAGTTTCCAGAGGAAAACACTACCTTGAACTAAGATTAAGTCAGCCTGCTGCATTCTGAACTATCCCAAATCAAGTAGAAAGGGCACATCAATGGTCTCTGGCTGGAGTGCCAGAGGGCACGATGATGAAGGTGAGGTCATTTCACAAAATTTTCTAGGGGTGCCTAGAGTCACCGACCTGTCTAGATAAGCTTAGGCTTTCTGGCCAAAGCAAATGGACCAAATCGTGTCCAGATTGCCAGGCCACCTCTCCCAGAAAATGACTTTATGAAAAATGGAATCCATGCCTGTCTTCTACAGATTGTAGTTAAAAGCTCAGCTAATAGTTCAAATGGTTAACCACACAGGAAATCACCAAGCCCAAGTGGCTTCTCCCCCTAATTAGTTCTTTATGCCTTGGCTCCACCCACCCAACTCTGTCAATCTTTGGCAGTCTGACGAAAGCTAGAGGGCAGGGCTGACGCATGCCTGGTCCAAGTAATCTGTGAATCCCTGCTCCTGTATCTGGAGAGCACCCCTCTTTGCAGATGATAGAACTGAAGGCAGGATGGATTAAAGGATTCCTGCTTCCTAGTCTCAGACTCTTGTGTCTAGAATGGAGTGTTCCCGGCGCCTGGGTGGCTCAGTTGGTTGTGTCTGGACTTGACTTCAGCTCATGTCATGATCTCACAGTTTTTGAGATGGATGGAGCCTCTTGTCTGGCTCTGGGCGTTTGGCGTGGAGCCTCCTTGGGATTCTCTCCTTCTCTCTGCCCGTCCCCTGCTCTCTCTCTCTCAGAATAAATAAACTTTTAAAAAGGCTTTAGAATGGAGTGCTCTTTAAAAAGGAGGAAAGGAAAGGGAAGAAAATGTCACTTCAGGTCAGAAAGTGACATGTCAAATCCCTTCCCTGCCAACAGGCCGTGCAGAGTTGGAAGGAACCTGACCCAGCCCTCTTTGTTTTACAGCTCAGAGAACTGCAGAAATGGGGTGATTGAGCCAGGGCTGGAACTCTGGTTTTCTAGTTAGTTCAAGCATCCTTTGTGCCACAAAGACTATCTCTCAGGATCAGCACTTGTGAGATAAAGTAACACTATCCTTCAAGAGGAGGCAGAAATGCATGGTGCTGAAAAGCATGGACCCCGGTGCCAGACCACTGGATAGAAGTTTCAGCTCCACCAACTATCAGTTGAGTGATGGGTAAGCTACTTAACCTCTTTGTGTCTTAGTTTCCTCACCTGAAACATAGGGATTATAATAATAGCTATCACAGAAGGCTGTTGTCAGAATGTAATTAATATGTGTAAAGACCTTAGAACAGTGTCTGGCACACAGTAGGTGTGAGCTACTGTTACTAAGGAGCAACTGAGTCATTCAGATCTTTTCCTCCTAATCATGAACCTGGAATCTTTAGACAAAAGGGAGACTCATTACCCTTATGGCCCTCCATGCCATGAATTATTTCTGGAGCACCTGTAACAGTTTCTGATTCTGTTCCCCTACAAGCCACTGGATACTTGGGATCTTCCTGAGAAGGAGCCTTGTGTGGGCCTTTGGGCTTTCCACCATCTTCCCTCCCCCAGGGCTGCTCCACTGATCTCCAGGTGTGCCCTAGAGAATAGGAGGTAATAGCTGGCCTTACGATCCAAAGCAAGAAACCCAGGCAGTGGGTGGATGCTGGGTGTACAGCAACTTCAGGGACTAGTTGCTAGTTGTTCTGCACTGGATGTATTTTGACTAGGTTTCTTTTTATTTCTTCCTTAGTCTCTCTCTCTTTTTTTTTTTTTTTTTGGAGAGAGAGAGAGAGAAAGCATGAGCAGGGAGAGAGGCAGAGAGAAAGGGAGAGAGAGAATCCCAAGCAGGCTCTGCACCAACAGTGCAGGGCCTGCGGGGCTGAAATTCATGAACCATGAGATCATGACCTGAGCTGAAACCAAGAATCGGGTGCTTAACCTACTGAGCCACCCAGGTGCCCCTTTAATCTTTTTTTTTTAATGTTTATTTATTCGTGAGGGAGACCGTGAGAGCGAGAGCTCACATGATTGGGGGAGGGGCATTGAGAGAGAGAATCTGAAGCAGGCTCCCAGCTGTGGGCGCAGAGAGCCTGACTTGGGGCTGAACCCACCAACCATGAGATAGATCGTGACCTGAGCCAGTCAGACACTTAACCTACTGAGCCACCCAGGCGCCTTATATTTCCTTCTTAATCTTGATCAATATTCAGATCCATGGATCCTAGGGGGAGTGAATGAAGGCTGGGACTTCCCTGGAACACAGCTGGCCATCAATTCAAACAAATCCTGAAGACTTAGGAGTCAGGCTGGGTGTCTAAAATTTGATTGCTAAAGGCCTATGACAGCTGCCTCTCCTTGAACCTGGTGTTCCCATGGGGTCAAGATGGATTCACTCCCTCACCCAGTCTTTAGGCTGCGTTCTGCCCTGCTCCGTGGAATGCTCTCTAAAGGGGTGAAATGCCTACAGTGCCAGCGTTTTAGGTTCTCAAGTGGTCGTTACAGCCATTAATAACAGTAACATCAGAGTCCCCTATCCAGTACTCTCAAGCTGCCCTGGGCCCTCACCCAAGGGCCGAGAAAGCATCTTCCGGGACCTCTTTCCAGGAGGGTCTGGACGTGCAGTGCGCAGCCCAGGACCGCCAGCCGGGACAGCAAAATTGGGAGTGCGATTGCAGCAGGAATGCGGCGTGAAGGCCCCTGGTCTTGCGCGGCTGCCGGTTCTTCCTCTCGGCGCCCAGCCTGGGTCTCGGAACCTGGGTATGCCCAGCCCACCCGGAGGCACGGAGGGAGGGACGGAGTGCGCACAGCCCGCGTGTACATCATCAATTTTGACAGTTTTCTGCCGCCAGCGGACTGGCGGCGGCGGCGGCGCGGAGTCAGCTGCGCTCAACTTTCCCGCCGCTGGAGGGGCGGGGCAGCTCTGGCCCCGCCCCCGCCACAGGCCCCGCCTCCGCAGGTTGATGGCAGCGGCAGCTGGGACTGCAGCGACGCCGGGCCCTGGAGAGCCGCAAGCAGCGGCCGGAGCGCTCAGCCGAACACTCGGGCCCCAGACGCCGCGGACACCCGGAGAGGCAGTTCCGGCGCCCTGAAGCTCTCTCGGCCCCCAGCGCACCCCTAACCCCCACTGCAGAGGAGTCGCAGCGTGAGCGCCCCTCGGCCCACTCAGGACCAGGTACCCCCCCCCACACACACACACACACACGCCGCCACCGCAGCCAGCGGAGCGGGCGGGATCTCCGGAGGGGCAGAGGTCTGCGCCCCCTCCCCCGCGCCGCCAAATTCGGTCCCGGGCGGGGCGGACTTGGTGTCTATATTTGGCCGGACAGCAGCCCGCGCGCCTGCAGGGCACTGACACCTCGTCTCCCAAGAACGCAGTGCCGGGGCAGGAGGCTGGAGGAGGGTGCGGGGAGGCCGGGCCTCAGGCCTGGGGCCGCAGAAGCGGCGTGAAGGGCACGGGGATGCCCGGGGCTGGGGAGGGGCAGGAGTCCGTGGCTGGGGCTTTGGAAGAGCTTGGTCAGTGAGTCCCCGGGGGAAGAGCATAGCACAGACCCTGTCTGGAGAAAAGGATCTTCACCCTCCCCACTTCACCCTCCCCACTCCTGCAAATCTGGCCGTAGCCCGGGGGGTTTGAGGACCCCACCCCAGCAGAGCTGAATAGGAGAGAGGACCCATGGGAGAAGCGGACCAAAGTATGGCAGGCGAAACCCAGACCATAGTTAGGACCTCTTGGAGAAGCTAGTGAAGAGAAGCATGGAAAGAGGAGAGATCCACCTTACAGTGTGTCCCCCAACAGGATGAGAGGAAACTGACGAAAACAATAGCAGGAAAGACTCAGGTTAGCTGACAGGAGGAACTTCTCCTTGGCAAAATTTTAGAAAAAGACAAAAGCCCATCTGCCTGAACTATGTTAGAGATGCAGGTTTGGGGACCTTGGGGGACTACAGTCTTAGCCCCATGGTTGGCCTTGAGCCAAGATCCCACAACCAAGGCTGCTGGGAGATAAACCACTTCCTGAAGAGATGCTCATCCAAGGCTGGCAGCCTGGCGTGGATGTTCCTCTCCAAATCACTTCAACTTCCAGGAAGCTTTCAGGCCCAAACTCCACTGTCCCCTGCCTGGGTCTCAAGGAAGTCAGGCCCCAAATCCTAGCCTCTCGAATTAAGCAGCATTTTATAGGTGTCAAAGGCCTCTCCCGTACTTTAATCACCTGGAAGAAAGCTCCCTGCTTCTAGGGCCTGCCTTGAGGCCAGATAACCCTTCTCACTTGCCTCCCTCTCCCTACTCTTCCTCCCCCTCACAGCTCGCAGGACTAAGGACCAAAGGCATTTCTGGGCACTGAGATCCTCCATTTCTACCCACAGCCATGAGCCGGCGTGTGGTTCGGCAGAGCAAGTTCCGCCATGTGTTTGGGCAGGCGGCAAAGGCCGACCAGTCTTACGAGGATATCCGTGTGTCCAAGGTCACGTGGGACAGCTCCTTCTGTGCCGTCAACCCCAAATTCCTGGCCATTATTGTGGAGGCTGGAGGTGGAGGTGCCTTCATTGTCCTGCCTCTGGCCAAGGTGAGGGATGAAGGGAGGAAAGCAGGGGGGAAGACGCTGGCTGTGGCCCCTGGGGACCCCTCCTTCAGTCAGGAGGGCAGTTTGTATCCACCGGCTGCTCCCTGTTCCCCAAGCCCTTGGGGACCAGCTGGGAGGCTCCCTCACCCTTCGCAGAGCAGCAGCACCACAGTGCCCTGCACCCACTCAGAGCCCATCCCTCTCTCCACGCAGCACCCTGTTGCCAGCAGGGACCAGAAGGGTGTTATGAAGATAGTTGGGAAGCAGTGGAGCCAGGGCCTGGCCCAGATTCTGTTCCCATTTCTCCTAATGCCACGCCCCCTCATGTTTTGGGTGTGGGATCTTTCTCCCCAGAGCAGGATGATCATTGGATTAAATCATACCCCAGAGTGGCACACTGAGGACAGAGTCGAGCTCTTTCCAAAGAGTCCCTGGCCACCTCCCCACTGTGGTTCTTACAGTGAGACAGAATGAGAATGAAGGGCATGGGGACATGACGCCTAAGGCCAGAACCCTCCCTACCCCAGGGATGGAGGCCAGGCAATGACTGCCACCACCTTTGCGGAGTAGCCTCAAGCCTCTTGGAAATCTCCATCCCCCAGGGATGGCCACCCCAAGTCATGACCTTGACCTGGATCTGGCCCCTACACCTTGTTAAGGGAGGCTCCACAGGTGGCAGGGTCAGAAAGAGGCCTGACAATAGCCAGTGACTCACTCGGGGACAATGCAGACACCATCCAAGGACACCATCCCCAGGGCTCAAATTTCAAGCTGGAGCCACCTCCTCACCCAGTACAACTGCCATTCCAATGCTACACTGCCACCCCTCTCCTCTACTGCCTGGTCTGGACTGATGCCAGCCCCTGCAAAGGCCTCAGAGCCCCCATGAAAAGCCCAAAAGGAACCAAAAGTAGATGAGCACCAGCTCAGGCACTACGCATGACTGCTGCTCGTGGTTCCAAGGTCAAACCAGTGACAAGGGGGAGACCCGCCAAGGGTGGCAAGGAAAGAGCCGCTGTGTTCCATGTTACCTCACCTTGACCTCTTCTACTAGGGGCTTCCTATAGACATTCTAACTGGGAGAACAAACCCAAGAACAGCCTCCTCCAAGCAGGTATTTTTGCAAGAGCTCTGGACTGAGAGTTCAAGTATTGGCTCAACCAGTATCTTGCTCTGTGTCTTTGGCTAAGTCATTACCTCTCTGTGTCTGATTTCCCGATATTAATGACTTCAACTGCCTTCAGTGAAGTACAGGAAGTAGTTGGATGGGGTTGAAGGTGCAGAAAGGGGTTCACAAAGAGAAAATAGGTGATAGAGTACTGAGATGTAAACAAGTCCACTGCCTGTCCCAAAAAAGCACACAGGAAAGTGACCCTATAGCTCCCTCTCTGACCCCTCCAGACAGGACGAGTGGATAAGAACTACCCACTGGTCACTGGGCACACTGCTCCAGTGCTGGACATCGACTGGTGCCCACATAATGACAACGTCATTGCCAGTGCCTCAGACGACACCACGGTCATGGTAGGAGCCAAGTGGATGCTCGGGGCACTTGGGCAGGGGAAGCAGGGAGGGCTGCCTCACCTGTGCTAGGGAAGGTGGTAAAAGAGGTGCTAGGTCCCAGGGCGCTACCCTGCCCAGCTCCCAGGCTATATTTAGCCACATGCCCACCCGCTCCCAGAATGCACTTCTTAGGACTAATTATAGCCATGGCCAACTTGAGGCCTGAAGAGCAAGGGGGCAGTGCTCTGAAGTCGCCCTGCTGGGGTGTATACAGAGGTCTCCGGAGAGCTGGCAGTGCCCCCTCCTGGCTCCCAGCTGCTTCTGCCTGGGGCAGGCACCATTACATCTTGCCCTGCATTTGACCTTTACCACTCAAGAGAGCCTGTAGGGTTGGGGGTGGGGAGAGGGCGGTGCGGACTAAGGGAGGAACAGAGGGACAAGGCAGGCCCCTCATCCCACTTACCCTATGCCTTTTCCTCCCCACCAGGTGTGGCAGATTCCAGACTATACCCCTATGCGCAACATTACAGAACCCATCATTACACTCGAGGGCCACTCCAAACGGGTGGGCATCCTCTGCTGGCACCCCACAGCTCGGAATGTTCTGCTCAGTGCAGGTCTGGGAGCCTGGGCAGGGGTCCCTACTGTAGACTGTAGGGAGCAGGCAAAGGCAGGACCCAAGTAATGGTGACTGGCTGCTCTGGGCAGGTGGTGACAATGTGATCATCATCTGGAATGTGGGCACTGGGGAGGTGCTCCTGAGTCTAGACGACATGCACCCAGACGTCATCCACAGTGTGTGCTGGAACAGCAATGGTCGCCTGCTAGCCACCACCTGCAAGGACAAGACCCTGCGCATCATCGACCCCCGCAAGGGCCAGGTGGTGGCGGTGAGTGCTTCGCATGGCCACCCCCCAGCCCCAACCCTGGGGACCAGCTATCAGGCCCCTGTACCCTTAATCCTCTGAGCCCCTGGTCCCAGCTCTCGCCTCCCCAACCCCAACCCGAGGCCGCCCTCCTCCCAGTGTCTGCAACCACAGTTCCCAGCCCTAAGTAAACCCACAGTCCACCATTTCCTGCCCCTCTCCTGTTCCCTCCGCCGCCCTGCATCTCGGAAGCTCAGAGCAGTGCTCTTGCAGTTGTAACTGAGCGGGCGAGAAGCTGCCAACTCTACCCTTCCACCAGAACCTGCATGAAACCTCCCGGACCCCTCTCCTCTCGGCCGGCACCCCAGCGCCATCTTCCAGGGTCTGGAGCCCGACGCGGGCTCTTTGGCAGGCCCCTTTCTGCCCTAGTCAACCCGCTGGGCGGCGGGGAGAGAGGGGACAACCCTCGCGCCTCGTTAGTCCCAGCTCGGTACCCTGGCAGGGCGGCGGCACCTGCCTCACCAGCCTCAATTTTACGCGGGGTGCGGGTGCGCGGGGCACGTGCATGTCTGCGCCGCGGGCGCGCGGAGGGCGCGGCCGGGGCCGGGGCGGGGGCGGGCCGGCGGGCGCTCTAACCCACTAACCCCGCGAGCAGGAGCGAGCCCGGCCTCACGAGGGCGCCCGCCCGCTGCGGGCCGTCTTCACTGCAGACGGGAAGCTACTCAGCACCGGCTTCAGCAGGATGAGTGAGCGGCAACTCGCGCTCTGGGACCCGGTAGGCCAGGCCGCGCTGGGCGCACGCGCTCGCTCCTTCGCTGGGCCAGCCAGGAGCGCCCTCCCAGGCCGCGGCCGGTGCCCGAGAAGGTGGAAGCCGAGCGGGGAGCTCCTGTCTGGGAGAAGCCTCGCTGCGACCCCGGGGAGCCGGCAGACACCCCCCCCCCCCACGCCCCGATTTAGGGATCAGCCTCTGAGGGCGCTTAAAGGCTCGGGATCTGCCGAGAGGCCCGCGCCTCCCGCTCTCTCCGGGCCCAGACTCTCTCCAGGCCAGTGGCCAGCCAGGGCCCCCCAGGAAGCTGAGTAGTTAGGCCCTCATTTCTCTCCACCCCCCACCCCCACCCGGTCTCTCCCCCGCCAAAATCAGCAAGCTGGTTGGTTGCTCGGCCCTCCAGGCTCCCCAGAGCAGGCAGCTGGGTGACGCCTCTCCCTGTCTCCCCCCTTCCCCCAGGAGAGGTTTGCGGCCCACGAGGGAATGAGGCCCATGCGGGCCGTCTTCACGCGCCAGGGTCATATCTTCACCACGGGCTTCACCCGCATGAGCCAGCGAGAGCTGGGCCTGTGGGACCCGGTAACGCAGCTGGAAGCTTGGGGTGTGTGCCCCGGGGACTGGCATCACGGGAGAGGGGCCAGGCGCCCCCCACCCGCAGGGCATGCCCACCTGGACTGGGCTGGAGGCTGCTGCCCCCTTTGCAGCGCCTGCCATCCCCACACCCACCCCTCTGTCCAGTTTTGCTGCGTCGCCTGGAGGAGCCCATGCTGGCACCCCCACCTGGTGATGCCGAGTCCCTGGGGGTGGTTTGCGGTGACTGCATGCGGCGGCGCAGGGGATATATGTACGGGGGACTGGGAGTGACGTGTCCAAGGGTGGGGCCTGCGGCTCTGTTGCCAGAGCTGCCTTGGGAATGCTTGGGGTTTGGAGCAGGAAGGAAGCTTAAAGGGGCTTCAGGGGATACAGAAGTGGCACGTGGCGGGGGGGATGGGGGGGGCAGGGCTGGTCACGCCTCCTGTGCTCGGGCAGAACAATTTCGAAGAGCCAGTGGCACTGCAGGAGATGGACACGAGCAACGGGGTCCTACTGCCCTTCTACGATCCCGATTCCAGCATCGTCTACCTATGCGGCAAGGTGCTTGAGGCCGGGAGGGGAGTACAAGGGTTTGACAAGATGTTGAAGGACCCGCCTGGCAGGTCCCTGAACCGATTGGTTTTGCAGGGCGACAGCAGCATTCGGTACTTTGAGATTACCGACGAACCACCTTTTGTGCATTACCTGAACACGTTCAGCAGCAAGGATCCTCAGAGGGGCATGGGTTTCATGCCCAAGCGGGGCCTGGAAGTCAACAAGTGTGAGATTGCCCGGTCAGCAGCCTTCACCCTTCTCTGCATGTCTGTCCACACTGACCATCGGGGCAAACACAGGGGCTTGGGAGCAGGGGGAGGGGGTCAAACAGGCTTGTTTTGGTGCCAGCCCCAGCATGAACTAGCTTAACACTCTCTAAACTTCAGTTTCCTTATCTGTAAAATGATGATAAACACCCCATCGAGATGTTCTACCAGCTGGACCAATGATGTGTTTTGAAGTGCAGAGCATAATAGGGGCTCTGCAAAGTGTTGGGCTCCAACCTATTGAGCCCAGGCAGAAAAGGGGGTGGGAGCCTGCGGGGGGTGTTGAACCCGGCTCCCTTGCAGGTTCTACAAGTTGCACGAAAGAAAATGTGAGCCCATCATCATGACCGTTCCCCGCAAGGTGAGGGGGCCGGGGGCGGGGTTGAGCGGAGAGGGCTCCGAGACGGGAGCAGGCCAGGCACTCTGCTAACACCAGTCCTCTCTCCCCACGCCCGCAGTCAGACCTGTTCCAGGACGACCTATATCCAGATACGCCAGGCCCCGAGCCGGCCCTAGAAGCGGACGAATGGCTATCTGGCCAGGACGCCGAACCCGTGCTCATCTCGTTGAGGGACGGCTATGTGCCTCCCAAGCACCGCGAGCTCCGGGTCACCAAGCGCAATATTCTGGACGTGCGCCCCCCCTCCGGCCCCCGCCGCAGCCAGTCGGCCAGTGACAGCCCCTTGTCGGTAAGATGCGGCCTCGCTGCACCCCGGCCCAGTCTATACATCCCCCCTCCAGCCCCCTTCCTCACACAGCCTCTTCTCTCCCCTGCGCCCCAGCAGCAGCACACTCTAGAGACGCTGCTGGAGGAGATCAAGGCCCTTCGAGAGCAGGTGCAGGCCCAGGAGCAGCGTATCACGGCTCTGGAGAACATGCTGTGCGAGCTGGTGGACGGCACAGACTAGGGCAGCGCGCGGGGGGGGGCAGCTCCGAGCCCGGGGCGGGGGGGCCCTGGGGCCGGGAGCACCCTCGGCCCCGCCCCAGCTCCCGGTCTGGAACTCCGGACCCCGCCTCTCTGAGCCGGGACCGGGGGCGGGACTGGGAAGGGCACTCCGCCCCTCGAGGGAGTCCAGGATAAATGGATCGTCGCAGAGACTCGAGCCTGCCAGGCACCCGCTCGGCTACGCGCCTCGTCCGGGACTCAGCAGGAGCTGGCCTTGGGAGGCCCGGGGTGACGGGGACCTCAGCAATGGTGCTGCACGGCGAAGCGGTGTCCCCTCTGTCCCCGGACCAGGGCAGGGGAAGTGCTTAGTATTAGCGCTATTCTTGGGGATATCAGGGAGCTTGGGCTTGACCTCAGAGGGGTGGCGGCGATTCGATGGGTCTCCCCAGACCGACTGGGGTGAAGTTACAACGCTCTCCTTCCAATCAGCTCACTTGATTCCACTACCCTAAGTGGTTAAACGGATGGGCGTCACCCCAGTTCTACAGACACACACAACCAGTTGGCTGTAGAGCCGAATCCACCGTCTACACCCAGCAGACTGTGGCAGAGGGCTCTCTTCTTTTCACCCGCAGGGGAGAGGGCGGCTTCCTCACTGCACCCCCGCCGGAGAACTAATCAGAAAACTGGCATGGAAGCAGGTTCACACCCTCCTTCACGTCACCCCCCCACCCCACCCCCGCTCTCCCCCGCCCACGCCACTGCCCCCAGCCTTCTGCTGTGGCCTTGACTCTAGGAGGAAAACAAGACGTACTGAATGAAATATTTTACCAAGTGCTCAGTCTGTGCCTCCTGCATGGGTGGGGGTGAGGGGAGCGAGACCCCAGCCTCTGCAAATGCTGTCCCCAGGCTTGTGGGGCAGGGGGTGCTGACAAACGCTCAGGACCCACCAGGCATTCTTGTACCTCAAAACCCTCCCCACACTGGGGTTCAGAAAGAATCCCCAACCCGTAGGTGGGCGTTCTTCCCTAGTAAAGCCAGCTAGGAAAAGCCTCGGGTTTGAAGCCTCTTTTATTTGTGCCTCAGAGTCAGTCTGGTGCCCCTGGCATCAGGGAAGGAGGTGAGAGGAACAGTTTCTCTTTGTTCTTTTCTTCCATCCCTTTTGTGTCCCTACTGAGCCTCACTGGCTGAGCCAGAAGGCCAGCCTGAGAAGGCGGACAAGGGTGTGCGGTGGGCCCCTGCCCCTAGCGGGGTCTGTGCTTCTCTGGGTGGGTGGGGTGGGGCAGGGGAGAGCCGGGGGTTAGCACCATTGGATGAAGGGTTTGAGAGTCAGCCCCTGGGTGGGGGCAGGTGGGACACACGACCACAGAGGGCTAGCAGCAGCTGGTGGGAAGGGGTGGGTGGTAGTGCCAGGGCCCTGACCGGTAAGAGGGCTCCGGGGTGCACCTGCCCATAAGCGGGGCTGGGGGACAGGCTCTAGTGCTTGCCCCCAGCCCAAATATGCCCCCCATTTGCCAAGACATCATGAAGGAACCAGGCCTTGCCCAGGCCGGGGGGCCACTTTGGGCACCCTCCCTGATCACAAAAAGCGCGCCTTGGGGATGGGGACTCCAACCTCTGGCCGCCCTAGGAGAAACTGGGACCACCCTGAGACCCGGGAGGGGTGTGGGGGAGGGGACTGGGGAAGCCGGGCACCCCGCTAAGTGCACTTGACGCTGAAATGCCGGGGTGGCGGAGGAGCTGGGCCCTTGACGTGCTGGTTTGTGTCTGGGACAAAGCAGCACAGCACGTGGGGAGCTCAGCTGCCCCCCAGGGGTGAAGAGCGGAGATGCAAAGGCTTCACGGACAGTGTCCTACAGTGGGTTCTGTGAGCAGAAAAGGAGGACCGGCCAGAAGGAGCAAGGGATGGGGACGGTGCTCCTCTAAGGAACCGGCTCCCCCTCAGGACGGCCCGGCCCCCTCGGACAATTCTGAGCCCAGGACAGAGTGATGGGCGTCAGGATACAGCAAAGCAGGGGGATCGGGCCGTGCGAGCTGCCTCCGGGGCCGTGGCCGGGACAGGTACCCCGCGGTCCCGCCGAACCCCGCCCCGCCTGGTGCCTACGCGCCTCTCCGCCCCCCCCACCCCGGGCTGCGGCTGCAGTCTCCGGCGGCGGCCCGGCGGGCGCGCGGGCCTGAGCGAGTCTCGCTCCGGGGCGGGGCGGGTCACGCGGGGCGTGGCCAAGGGGCCCGGCAGTGGGCGCTACTGCTCCGTGAGTGAGAGCCGCAGGATGCGCTCCAGCTCCTCCTCCTCCAGGCGCGCGCGCCGCCGCCGCTCCTCCTGCTCCTGCGCCGACAGCTCCATGGCCAGCCGCAGCTGCTCGTCGTAGCTCCGGAACACATGGCCGCCCGGGCCCGGGCGCGGGCTGGGCCGCGGGCTGGGCACCGACGCCAGGGCCGCTGGGGGCGCAGGCTGGCGCTGCGGCGTGGGCGGGGCGCTCCTGGGGGCGGGTAAGATACGTCGAGGGCTCCGGAGCGCACCTGCCCACCTGCCCGTAAGCGGGGCCAGGAGACAGCGTGGAGGCCCCCCGGACTGAGTAGGGCTCGCGGCCCGCCAGTGGGAGCGACGAATCCTGCATCACACCGCGCTGGCTCCCACCCAGGTGTGACAAATCTCAGCCCCTACAAGGCCCATGCTCCCAGCTGACGGTGGACCAGCGCAAGGGCATGCCTCTTCTACAACCCTAGCCCCGACATCCTGCCTGGTAAGGGTCTGAAGGCCTTTGAGGCCTGTCCCCTTGCTCCCCGTACTGCTCAGAGTGAGGAAAGGGTGGGGGTAGAAGCCTTCCGGATACCAGCAGGGGCCCAACAGAGGGCACCATGGTGTCCTGGGGCCAAGATGAGCTAGCTGCCCAGCCAGCAGTATCCTCACCCGCTGGGACAGGGCACTAAGAGTTGTCTCCGGGGAGGGAGGGCAGGTCAGGGCTGGCGGGCACTGACCTGTCCTGTCGGCGAGTTTCGTAGGACATGGGGTGAGTGCCGGGTTTGCTGTTGGTTAGCGCTTCCCAGATAGTGACCTGGAGGGAGGGACGTGGGCCAGTCAGCCAGGGTGGCGCCGCAGGCCGGCAGGGCGGCGCAGCGGCAGGGACGCACCTGGTCATACTCACTGCCCGCCTCAAGCAGGCTCTGCTGGATGGCGAACTGCAGCAGGTCATCGTCGTCATCGCGGGTGGCCGCCTCTCGCTGGCCGCCCAGCACACTGTAGCCGCGCGGAGCCTCGAACAACGCGGGGGAGATCTCGCAGCCGCGGCAGGAGGCTGAGGGCGCCAGGCAGGGCGTCAGAGCAGGGGACCCGCCCTCCCGGCCCCCGCCCGGCAAGAGTGCGGGCAAGGGCGGGGCGGGGCGGGGCGGACGTGAGGGCGGGGCGCGCGGCGGGGGCGGGTCTCACTCGCGGAACTGGAGCTGCTGACGCTGGAGGAATCGCTGCCTGGGGAAGGGGTCTCGCTGCTGGGGCTGCCTCGCACCGATGGCACTGGCTCGTCACAGCCATTGAGGTTCCCGAAGGTGATGCGAGCGTTGAGGATGTGGAAGATTGGGATTTCTGAGGATGAAGCAACGGTCAGGTGCCACCGCCCACCTTCTCACACCTTAGGCACCCCCAATCTTTACCTCTTCGAAGCCCTCCCCCTCCCCCCCATACACAGCGGCTGAAGGGAAATGGGGGTGGGGTCTCACCAATCTTGACAGGAAAACCAGGGGGCAGGCGCAGGGTAATGAAATCCCGGAGCTTGGCGAAAAGCGCATTGCTGACAGCCATGAGGTCAATGATGGGGGCCACCTGCTCACACAGTGACAGGGGATGCTCCTCACACAGCCACAGCTTGGCCTTGAACCTGCCCCCCACAGATCCCAAGGGGTGAGGGACACAGTAGAAGCCATGGCCTCTCAGTACATTCTGGAGACCTCACCCAGCCCTGCCCTACCCTCCCCGCCCCTCCCCAGCACCAGCAGGGGGCCTCACTTCTGTGTCTTGGTGGTCAGTTCCATGGGGCGGCCCATGTCCCGGTTGCCAAGCTCAAAGTTGGGGTTGAAGTATTCTTCTGCAGTGATGGCAGTGGGGTTGGCTTGGCTCAGAGTCTGAGTGATCAGGGTCTGTACCACATGAGGAGGTGCCCATGAGCCTCAGTCTCTGATGCCAGGCCAGCCATTTGGTATCACGGGCCCCAGAGCTATCCCCCCTGCCACTGTGGAGCTGGCACGGCCTCGCGCATTGTGGAAAGTAGTTCCACACAGGCCATGCTAGGCAGGACGCCTCCCAGGCCTCCTGAGCCACATCCACACCCTTCCACACAAGGGCACCCCTGGCACACACTCACCCCATTTTGGGGGCCCCCATGCTGCTCAGCAATTCCCAGGAAGGACTGCAGAGGTGTCTTACAGCCTACAAGAAATGTGGCATCTCAGAGGACACTGCAACCCTCAGAATTGACAGCACCCGCAACCTAAGGAGGCTGGTCTCTGGCAGGTAGGGAGGATTACTCACCCACACCAAACTCTCAGGCACCTTCATCTGAGAAGGTGCCTGAGGACTCACTCCAAAGGCCAGGGGCAAGGAACACTACAAGCACAGCGGAAATAAAAGGAGGCCTGGGGCTCAGGAGAAACTTCCAAGTGTCTGGGCTGGTGACACTGGCAAAAAATACGTGCCTTTGGCGAGCAGTTTTAGGGGACACGTGTGTGTGTGTGTGTTCCTTCAGGCACTTCCATCTTAATTACCTTATTTTGTTCCCCTGTGAGGTAGGAATGGTCTTTCTACCTTAGGTTGACTAACCAGTGCCCAGAGAATCAGTGACAGGCCCCCTGACGTTCTGCTTACAGTCTGGAATGGCCGATAAATAGCATAGGTGACATGTCCACTCCCATGTCCAAGGCAGACATCAGTTACCAGTTGTAGTCCTTCCCACTGAGCCCAGATGTTGCCTTAGACTCTTCCTAGCTGCACTCCAGATAGTCACTCCCAATTATTAGCACTTGGCACTTGAATTGAAACCTGTTTGCGTGAATAAACTATCCTGGCTTTTGCTGGGATGTCACAGGGAATGCTGATGGAGGCATTCAAGTGGGAGCCGCTTCCTTCCGCCGCCCTTCCGCCCCTCTCCCATTCCACCTCTGCTTCATTACCTTTGACCTTGCCCTTGTGCTGTTCTGAAAGATGCTCTGTCCGTGTCCGGGTGATGAGCTCCACATTGGATGCCCCATATACCTGGCGACAGATGAGGAAAGGGCTCAAAGACAATTCTGGTACCATATCCCCAGCCCCCAAGGGCCTTATGAACACTTCCTGCAACGAAGGGTCCATTGTGGGATGGGGGGGTGGCTCTTTGCTCCCGTCTCCCAGCCTTTGTAAATCTCTGAAGTCATTCATCCATTCTGTTATTCATTCAACAAACATGTGCCAGGCACTGAGGCAGGCATCAGGGATACAGTGGTGAACGAGCACTACTACAGACAATCCCCATCGTTGGGAGGCTTACACACCATTTGAAGAGATGAGGAAACGGGCAGTTATAGTGTGATTCACGCTCCAGTGGAGGGAGCACAGGGCTATGGGAACGAAAAGCAAAGGCCGCAATGCAGCCTGCAGGGCCAGGGAAGGCTTCCAGGAGGACACAGTGCAGAGCCTGGCAGTATTTGTTAGTCCTTCCCTCACCGGCTGTCCCACGTGGCCCCACAAGGGTGAGGTAGGGGTCCCAGCGTAACCAACACAGTATTCTTAAGGGTAAAGGCCTGGCTTTGTCAGGCAGCCAAGGTCTACACCTTGGCTTTGTCACCTGTAGCCGGGTGACCCTGTACAGGTCATGG